CAGTTGGGTTCTTCAATATTAATGTTGATCACTTTTCATAAATTGGGTAATATTATGTTTATAAATATATTTAAATCGTTTTGATATTATTTTTTATTAAATAATTTTTTTAATAATATAATCTTTTTTATAAATTTAAAAATAGTTTTTTAACTATGTTTTTATTTGATATTAGTTAAATCAGATTTATACTCAAAAATTTTGAATTGAATCGAATTTGAATAAAAACATATACTCTTTAAATCGAGTCAAGTTTGATGGAGAATATATATTTCTCAAACTAGATCGGATAAGATTCAGATGAAGTACGTCGAGTTAAAAAAAACCCGACCCTTTTTCATCTATAGTTAGAATCATAGATTTGATCTTTAACATCTTTTGTGGTAAGTGATATCCAATTGTTGAGACTTAACCATATGTTGATCCTCTTGGAGGAATAACTCAGTGAGCTTCCATTGATATATCAAAATCACTCGCATCAAATCTGTATGCTCCAAATCCACCCTTCAATGGATCCGAAATCCGGATTTTGTCAACGAACCCGAACTGACAATTGCCTTAGATCCTCCTCCATCCCTTTGCCCCCCATCGATCAACCGCTTTCCGTCTCCGAATTTTGTCTCCAGTCGTCCACTAGCGGCGCCACCACTTTCGCCGTCAACGCAACCACCGGCGAATCCTTAGCTTTCTCTCAATTCTTTTCTCAAGTCCGTTCCCTTGCTTACTCTCTACAACAACGTTACTCTCTGTCATACCAAAACGACATCGCTTTCTCTCTCTCTTCACCTTCGATTCGTGTCCCCGTGACTTACTTCGCTTTGTTGTCCTTGGGAATCATAGTTTCTTCCGCTAATCCACTCAGTTCCGACTCGGAGATCGCTCACCAGATCCAGCTCAGCAACCCGGTTGTTGCCTTCGCTACTTCAGAAACCTCCCATAAAATCTCACCTCTTAAACACGGAACTATCCTCCTCGACTCGCCCGAGTTCATTTCATTGTTAACTCAGTCCGATACCAACGACGATGCCGTTAAAACTGTCAAGGTAAACCAGTCCGACACGGCTGCGATATTGTATTCTCGGGAACCACCGGGAGATTCAAGGGTGTAATGATGACTCACCGGAACTTGATCGCAAAGATGGCCGTGACTAGTTTCTTCGACACGAACCAAGGCGAAAGTAACGAGGAGCCCCGGCGATCGGTGACGTTCTTCACGGTGCCTTTGTTCCATGTGTTCGGTTTCTTCATGTTGTTGGCGGCGGTCTTGTCAGCGAATTCGGTGGTTATGTTGGCGAGGTTAAATTTAGAAGAAATGCTGAGAGCAGTTGAGAAATACAAGGTTACAGGCATGCCGGTGTCGCCGCCACTTGTGTTGGCGTTTGTTAAATCGGAATTGACTAAGAAGTACGACTTGAACTCGCTCCAAGGGCTTGGCTGCGGCGGCGCGGCGCTAGGGGAGGACATTGCTCAGCGGTTCAACGAGATATTCCCCATCAACGTGAAATTCCCCAGTGTGCTGTTGGTGCAGGTATTTTCAATTTCTATATAGTCGTCTTTTTGCTATATATGTTACTACGTTGCATTTTTTCAAGGATTAAAATTTTTGTTATTTCCCACATTATCATCTAAATTTGTTTTTTATTCACTTTAACCCCTAAATTAAAAAATAATTAAAAACAACTTATTTTAATTAATAAGTAAATGTATTTACTGGCTAAAATAACTTAATTAATAACTACAACAAACAACATAGAATATTCACCAACTAGCAATGTCAGTAATCAGGGATTGGTATATGAATTTATGTTAATGGTATGAGTTTAAGAAATTATATAAAATTTTGTGGAGTGTAAAATTATAAAATTTTAAGAAGTATGAAATTTGACAATTCATATAAATAAAAAATATATTTAAAATATAAGATAATTTAAAATTTTTAGAAATTAGGGTTGCACACCTAGTATCTGTCAGCAATTGTAAGAGTTGATTTTCACTAACGTGAGAGAGTAAAGGGTAGAGCTGAAGATCAAAAACTGAAAAATTGAAAATTAAAGTACATAGATGGTCCTCAACTATAAGACATTGTTTTGTTGAGTCATCCGATTATTAAAAGTTATGAAATGGTCTCTCAACTATAGGGTATTGCTTTGTTTATTCATTCGACTATTAAAAGTTACAAACTTGTCACTTGACTATTCATATGTTTTAAACTCGTTCTTTTTGTTTAAAAAATTGACGACAATATGAGTTGGATGTTAATCTGTTAACAATAATTTAATAAAATATGATCTTAAAATTTCAAACAACTATTATACCTCAGTCAACAGATTAGCATCAAGTTCATATTGTTATCAATCTTTTAACGAAAAAGGACGTAAATAGTTGGATGATCATTTTATAACTTTTAATAGTCGAAAGACTTCACGAAGCAAAGTTATATGGTCAAGGAACCATTTTTTAACTTTTAATAGCCGGAGGATTCAGCAAAATAAGACCCTATAGTCGGGAACCATTTGTATACTTTATCCTAAAAATTATAGTTATCCGAATTGAATTTGAATTTTTATTTAATTTATAATTATTTTATTTTATTTTATAGTATAATAATAACTATTTTATACTTAAAACTAGAAAAATAACTTAAAAATATTATATATCAATATTAATTATTTACTTGAAAAATTAATTTTTTAAAAAAACATTTTTGAAAAAGACTTTAAACTTTACTAAACAGCGTTTAAAAGCCATAAAATAAAATATAAAATTTCAAAATTTAAAGTTAATATGGAAAAATAAAATAATTTTTTTTACTGAACCGAAGTGTATGCACACCCTACTGAAGGAGGGAATAATGTGGAAAATAAATAAATTTAAGGACCCATTTGGATAAAAAGACTTGGGGACTAATGTGAGAAAATTAGTTATATAAAAGGACTAATTTGAACATAAAACAAATTCAGACTCTAATTTGAGAAAAAACAATCGAACTTAAGGACTAAATAAATCTTTTATCTCTTAACTGTTTACTGCTTTCGTTATTGGATAGAAAACTAAATCAATTAGAAGGCTTGAAAACTCGAAAGTTCAATTTGATTAACTCAAATCAGATTTAATCCGATTTGATTAAAAATATTTAAATTTGTTTGATTTCTATCATAAAAACTGCTGCCCCTGTCTGGTGGCGACCACCATTGAACTTATTCATAAAAAAGCTATGGTTGGGGGTGAATGTTAATACTATTGTTTTTAATGATTTTGTTAAGGGATATGGGTTGACCGAGACAGTTGACCGAGCAACCAACTTTATTGGTTCCGAGGAAGCAGCTCGATACGATTCCGTCGGCGCCTCGTCGCAAATATGGAAGCGAAGATAGTTGATCTCGAAACCGGCGAGGCACTGCCTCCTGGGCAAAGAGGAGAGCTTTGATTGAGAGGGCCAATAGTCATGAAGGGTATCACTCTTTTCTACTCTACTCTGAACTCTTATCCGGTGTATTCAATTAGGATAATTATTTAAAATTTAACTAATTTCAACATACAAGATAATTATAAATCAAAAATATTTAATTAAAATTAGATTATACAATTATAAAGTAATTAAAAATTATAATTATATTTCATAAAGTTCAGTTCATAAAAGATTTTTCTTTGATGGTATGAATGTAGGTTATGTAGGTGATGAGAAGGCGACTGCAGAAACCTTGGATTCCGAAGGCTGGTTAAGAACTGGTGACATTTGTTATTTCGATTATGATAAGAGTGTCGCATACAGATATGTCCAAAATCTTTTATATGACCGTGTTCTCGTACTCGTATTCTTAAAAGATCGTATCGTCGTACTCATGAGTGTATCGAAACCTGATTGCAGGTCCCTCCAGCTGAATTGGAACACTTAATTCTTTCCCATCCTAAAATTGCTGATGCTGCTGTGATTCCGTATGTTTTCTTTTTCTTTTTCTCAATGATGATGATAATAGTTTATATTTCGATATGATCTGTGATACTCGGTAATAATATGATGTAGAGTCACTATTCTCATATGGATCGATAAAATGGTTGAGCAGGTACCCGGACGATGAAGCAGGGCAGATTCCCATGGCGTATGCAGTGAGGAACCCTGGAAGTAGCATTATAGAGGCACGGGTCATAGATTTCGTTGCAAAACAGGCATGTTTATAAATCAATAACAGATACATGTGTGTATTTTCTTTGTAGTTAAGATCTAATGTAGGAGTATATGTATATATTTTCTTTTACAGGTTGCGCCGTACAAGAAGATCCGTACGGAAATCTCCGTCCGGGAAGATCTCGAGGAAGGAACTGGTTGATCGTTCTCTATCTGCCGTGTTGTAACTGTTTTTGTTTGAGGAGAAAATTGAAAATATTGAAGAACTGAAGACAGATGAGGGTGAAATATAATGGGAAATTTTGGACTTAGTACTTGGGTTATTTAATATTTTAAGATTAATCTTAAATGCAGTTTACAATATATATTTATTTATGTTAAAATTAGTTTTAAAATCTAAGTAGTGTGAGCTTTAAATTTTTCAAGCCTTTGTTCAGGCCACAAGTAGAGTAATTTATCATTAACTTTTTATCTAATAAACCAGGATTTGATCCATCAAAGTATCATTTTGATATGATGTCTATGTTAGTAGACGTCAATTATGACATTGTGTGCGATTTATAATTAAAACGAAAACGAAAATCAAAATTTAATGTTATAATTGATAATAAATTATTAGTTATAACTTTTCAATCAAATTTAACACCCTAAAATTTATAATTTCACACTTGTTAATATATTTCTTTTAGAAGTTTGTGCGAAAAAAGCATAAAATTTGACGTGGGCCCTTATTGTTTGACCTAGAGAATACGTTCTGTTTAGTGTTGGGTCTTGCTTCACTCCTTTAACCTTTAGAAAAGAACAAGGAAAACCTAAATGGATTCGACACAGGCTGCCACTTTCTTATTCACTGACAAATACCATATGATCCTTTAAATCAGAGAAAAGTTCAAAAGGTAGCTTCTAACAGCTTCATCTGGGCTGTGGAATTCTGGGCTTCTAACAGCTTCATCTGGCGTTCTGAGTTCTCCCTATCACGAGCACTGATTCCAATAATGATATCGAGCATTGTACCGGTTGTGCCAAAGAACACGAGGGGCGCTAGAGATTTCCTCTTTATCCCCACCGGGATCACTAGCAAAGCCCCCGCCACTGAAAACACCCATATGCCCAACGCACTGCACATATTCGACAGCAGTTCCACTCACCTCAATGCATCATCTAATGTATTCAAAACACATAATTGAAGGGAAAGACTGAGATTTAACTTTATGAGGGAAAATGAATCACGAAACTCAATGCTTCGAATCGTAGCACGTTCATTCATCCAGACACATCACATGTTACGTACTATCAGGCCTACCATGAGCATGGGCAAATGGATCCCTCCTCAGGCCCCCAAATTATAAATTCACGTATAATTAAAAAACAATAAATTATTTATTTAATCATTCATCTATTATTTTATTTCTATTTTAATTATCCAATTATTTTTTTCAAAATTATACTTAACGTTACATTTTTTTAACTATTTTTTAAATTATTTTTTTACTTTCCACTTAATTATTCTTTTTTTTTAATTTTTTTGACAAAATTAAGAAGGTTACAATCTAACATGTATCCCTTTTAAAAGAGGATCATATTTGTTTTGTGTGAGTAATTGAGTGTTTAATAAAAAATTTTAATGTTTTCTATTTAAAATTTAATGTATTTATTAAACGTAATATAAAAATAATTTACAAGTGAATTTATTTAGTTTTGTTTATTCTTACAATTCAAATTTTTTATAATTATTATTGAGGGCCTAATTTTTATTTTCGCCTAGTACCGTAAGCCTGATAGTGTATGCAGAAAACCCCACTAACAATCCGAAAGCAGAATCAAGATGGTTGGCGAGTGGATCCTTTTAAAAGGACTCCAATCGGAATTCAATAATATTTTGATTCCTATCGTACTATCATGCTGAAAGCCATACTAACAATCTGAAAGCCGAATCAAAATGGTCGGCGAGTGGATCGTTTTAAACAAACTCCAATCCAAATTCAACAATAGTCTACTTTCTTCAGTCAGATGAATGCAAATTGCAATCATACAGCAACATGGTTCAACTCGATACGTCATGAATTACTTCAAAACACCATAAGCAGTCATCTGCTCATAGAAACAGCCTCAATCATGGTAAATTAATTAGTTAAGATAATTCAAAATAGCCTCAATCATCTTAAACCCTAAAAGCACAAATTCAAACCCTGAACCTGAAGACGCCAAATCGGATGTGATAAAAGGAAGAGCAGAAAACTTACTTGGAAACTGAGCATTCCCCAAGCTGCTTAACCTCTTGGCCACCCATTTCCTGCTCTCTTAGTTATGTGATCTTCACACGTCAGCCCCAAAAGAATAAAGGGAAATCCTAGTTTATCTGCCATCACTTGAGCTTACCAGCCAAAATTAAACCCCAAAGACCCAAATAAGTAGAAAAAGAAAAGATTTTTCTCAAATAAAATTTTAACCAATGATGATGCGAAGACTTTTAGAATTATCCGTCTAAAAATTTGAATCTGTTTATTACAAGCAAATAATCTGAGTATTGTTATCTAAATTTGAATCTGAATTAAATAATATAATCCGTCAGATATAAAAATTTCCAATAATCTGTCGAATAGTTGTATCTGACAAAAAAAATCTAAATTTAAACTTATTTGTTGATATCTGAATCTAAAAAGATTCGAAATATGAGCTACTTTTTCGATATATAATAAAAAATTGAACAAAACTTCCTCATAATTAACAATAAATTGAGACTTTTAATTCAATTCTTCGATGAACTTTGCGAGCACATCAAAGCAACGAAACCTAACACTCAAATTCAAAACAACGAACAACTTAACCACAATTCAAAGCCCACACAAATCCGTAGATCAAACCAACAAAGAGGAAATCATCGACTACGTACGTACCTTCTGGAGATGGCTGTAGAGAAGAAACCGGGTAAAGAGTTAAAGAGGTGTAACTGAACGTGCCGCAGAGACTGAGATAGTTAAAATTCGTCGGACTTTATACAGTAGGAATGTAGTTGCGGAATTAGAACAAAATGATAATCAGACTGAGATTGGGCTTTGCTCAACCATGGTTGCCACTCGGTTATAGCCCATTTGAGCTAGGGATGCGCACGGTGCGAGGCGGGCCGATTTTTTTGGCCACCCGAACCCGATTCAAAAATATAAATTTTATATTTGATCTTATCCTTTCTCGATGAATTTTAGTTTTTTTTCGTCCCGAATTCGTCCTGATTTTCATACTAAAATCTCAATCCTGATTCGACTCGATATGAATGTATTAATATTTAAAATAATATACCGTATAATAATTTTATATTTTTAATAATTAAATAATATATTTTAATAATATAAAATAAAAATTCCTAAAATATTAATATATATATATATATATATAAATTAATCGGGTTGTGTCGGGTCAATGATTTTTCACCTTAAACTAAGCCCCGTCCCATCCCGAAGTTATACACTATATACCCCGCCATGTCTCATCCTGAGCCCCGAAATTTCAAAAAATAAATACCCTTATAGGGTTGGATCGGGTCATAAACCATCAGGTTCGAATATTTTAACCATCCCTAATTTGAGCTCATCCACAAATTTACTTCCATTTTATTATTATAATATAATATAAGTGTCTGTTTGTTTCACGAAAAATAGAATCCAAAAAATAAATGTCATAAAATGAATTACATCTCTTGAAAACCATTCTCTAAAAATCATTTACAATGTTTGAATGATGTTGTGTAATTCATTTTCTATGGGTTGATAATTTTTTTTTTAAATTATTATAAACATTAAATACAATAAATAATATTATTTATTAAAAATAATAATGTTTCTAAAATATTAGAATTATTTATTTAATATTATTTATGTTAATATTATTATTAAAAAAATATTATATCTATAATTTTATAAATTAAAATATTAAGATTATTATATTTTATTAAAATAAAATTATTATAACTTATAATTATAATTTATTAAAATAATAATAATAAATTATTATTTATTTATTTATTAAAACAATGATATTATTAATTTTTTTTAATTATTATATTAAAATAAAAATATTTTGTTATATTTTAAGGAGTATATTTTAAATATTCAACAATTCAATAATATTATTTTATGAAGTTAACAAATAATATTAATTTTATTAATAATTTATTATACATTATGAAAATAAAAGTACAATATTATATATTATAATAATATACTTATAACAATAAGAATACAATATTATATAATTATCAATAAATATAATTTAATAATTAATAAATTTATTAAAATGATACTAAAATATTTTTTAATATAAAATATATAAAATAATAATGTTTTGAGTGTTTATGCTTGAAGTGAAAAGTTCTTAAAATGACTTACGAAAATTCAGACTGTAAGTTATTTTTCAAAAAACACAAAGAAAATTCAGTTGAATATGAAAATGAATTATATTGACCATCGCCAACCAAACACTGAAAAATAAGTAAAACATTTTCTGGAAAATCAATTATAGTGAAACAAACAGACCCAAGAAAAATTGTTTAACATAAAGATGATCTAAAGGCATTTGGGAAGAGATACGAATCAAACATGACAAGGTACCTTGGCACAAGATTATTTGGTTTCCCATTCACATCCCAAAATTCAGCATTATTACTTGGTTGACAATTCTTGATATACTCCCAACAAGCGATAGACTTATTCGTATGGGAATTACCACTGTCGGTTCTTGTGTATTATGTAATGATGCCCTTGAATCGAGAAATCATTTGTTTCTTGACTGTGCAATGGTTGCTTCTCTATGGAATGGAATTTTAAATCTCTCTCACTTGGCCAAGCCTCCTATGTCATGGGATAACATGCTTGCTTGGGCTTCTTCAACTTGGAAAGGTAAATCTCTCCTTACTTTCATCATGAAGATTGCTTGGTGTGCTTTCATCTACATTGTTTGGGAGGAAAGAAATAGACGACTTTTTCAAGGAAGGGTTCGAACCGTAGAAGATATATTAAGTTCCATTAAGGAGATTTTTAGTACTCAACTTAGAAATAGCGATCTTAATAGACTTGATAATGTTAATACACTTCTTTGTAACAATTGGGGTATAGGCTAACCTTTTTTTTGTTGTAAATAGCATGTCTTTGATCCATGATTGGGATGTTTTGTACTGAACTCTTATTTGGATAATAAAATTTTACTTATCCAAAAAAATAATAATAATAATAATGAATTCATTAAGTGACTTCAATGGTGAAAGAGAATATTATTTTTTTCTCGAGATCTTAGGTTTTGTAGGATGCGCGTTCATTGTAAATGGACTTGATTCGGGTTCTTAAAGAACCGAAAGGAGTTACTTGATACCGACTTGAAAAGCTTGTGAGCAACTCTAAAATAGTAATATATGAAAATTTTAATTTTTAAAATTAAATTATTAATAAAATTAATATTCAAATATTATTTTTTTAAATATAATATAAGGCTATATATGCTTAAGGTTTATGTTTGAACTTGAGTTTGAATTTGAATCAAACTTGAGTTTGAGCTTTAATCGAGTTAATTATGAGACTGTTTCAAGTTCAAGTTTTTTTTAATTGAAGTTGAACTTCTAAATCGAGTCAAACTTTAATTTTTGATTTCAAATTCGAATCGAATTTAACAATTTTATTTATACAAACTTTTGAATCGAATCGAATTCAATTTATACTTTCGATTCAAATTCATCAATATTTGAGTTCAACTTGTTTACGGTCCCACTAGCAACGTAAAAAAATACTCTACAAACATGAATGTGAAGTTGCCATAAACAATGATCATGTGATGGCAGAAAATTTTCTTGATATTATCGGTGTATAAACAAATTATCTTCAATAATTCATATTATATAATATTAATTAGGTTACTGATATAATTTTTATCACGTGTTATAATGGGATGAGTAACCAGTAAATGTTAGAAATCATTTATCTTGAGCTACAAACACTATCAGGATAACCGTTCAATCGAATCAAGTTAAAAAAAATTTAAGTTATATTATAACTTAAATTTTATTTAAATTTTTTTAGTCGAGTCCAATTATTCGAATATATGTTTAAATTTATTTGTAAATATTTATAATATTATTGAAGTATTTTATTCCAATTTAAATGATTTCCTATAATCATATACAATACATGTATGTTGCTTCATGTTTATTTTCATATGTGATATACATACATTATATAAAGCTGATAGACTCAACTTAAACTTGAGAATCAATTTATTATTTACTAAAACTTTCGAGTTACTATTCGTGTTTTATTTTATAACCCAAATAGAATTTAATTTTTTTTTAAATCGAATCAAATTTATAAAGTTACGAATTTAATCAATTTGAGTATGAGGTTTCATGGGTTAAATCAAGTCAAAAAGGTCAACTTTTCGATTTGACCCAAGTGTTATTATAATGATGAAATATTTGTTTTGATGCAACATCCAAGGCGGTAAAAGGAGTAAAAGAAAGGGCGAAAATCTGGTTCAATACTCTGATTGCAAGTGAATGAATGGGCTTAATGAAATCCTAGGATTAAACATAATTAACACTTCTCTTAATGACAACAATGGTGAAATACTAACCCTAGATTGCCAGTTGATTAGCAGGTTTCATTAAAAACGTAAAAAATTACAGTTCTCTTCCTTCGAATTATTGTCTACCTTTCTTTCCTACGTGCCCGGTCTTCCGTTTGTGACGACTGAAATCCGACACGAAACGAAATGTCTGACCACGGCCTTCCTCGGCGCATACATAAGGACGAGCACCTGTGTGAACCCTAATATGTTCGGTTCGAGCCCATGCCCACTTGAATGTCATCTTGCAGCCCTTCCATGGGCATTTAAGAGGCCGGTCATCTAAATGAACTCGACGATGCTGAACCAGATATTTGTGTGAGAAGAACTTCTTCCCACGCTCTTTGACAGGACAAATGTTTCGTTTGTGCATGAGCAGCGCTTGTTTTGAGCCCAAACTCATCGAGCAGCCTTCAATGTCACACTGGTAATCCGTTTCTTTGTTTCTTACTTTTGCAGCGTTGTGACGGCTTCAATTTTCGAATTCAAAGCATTCTTCTTACTGGATTGCTTCTCTTTCGGTTTTGTTTCCAGCTCTCTCAGAGGCTTTCGGCTTCTTTTGCTTCGGCGTTTGTTTGGTCCACCTTCAGTCTCGTCTTCATCAGATGAATTGCACTGTCTAGCACTTTGCTTAATTCTGGTGTTCCAATCCCGAGTCTCTTGTTTCACTTGCTGAGAGACTACTTGTTTTGTTGACTGATGTTTCGCTCGTTTCGCATTCCGAGGGTTTACTTGTTTTACTTTTCGTGGTGTTGGGGCTTTCCTTTTTCC